CGGGCGGGCAGGCCGTGGCGGGGCTGGTCAGCAGTCTGTTGATGGCCTCCTGCCCGCTTCCCAAGCCCGGCTCCCCTCTGCGGCTCCTAACCTGCACCGCCCCAGTGCCCCCGGAGCAGGGGGGGTGGGCAGTGGGGCCAGGCGGGAGGGGGTGTCCAGGGCAAAGACACTGAAGGGACCACCCTTGGAGGCAGCGGGAAGCCTGTGGGCGGCCGGGGGCCCCTGGCTTGTGTCTGAGCGGGGGCACGGGGTGTGCGGCTGTGTGGGGGCAGGGGCCAGGGGTGGGACCGCGACGGGGGGCAGTAGATGTACCCAAAGGGCCGAGTGGGAGCATCTTCAGAAGCAGAGTCCTTAGGTCCTGGGGACGGTACAGCCCAGAGGGCTGAGGGGGCCCCAGGAGACCAAGGTTGAGCATTTTCTTGGATGTTTGGGGCCACGTTAAATACGTTTCTGTGGAATGAGTCCATAGTTGCCCCTTTTTTTCTATCCTTTGAACACGATTTGTAAACTTCTATACGTTAAGGAAAGCCCTTTTCCAGTGGTTTGAATTGCAAATACCCTTCCTAATTGTCTTTTGACATTGTAAAAGATTTTTGGAGGGCCACGCATGCCCAAATTTTTTGATTTTACCTTGCTAAATATATTACTATCTTCTTTTACAGTTTCTGGAGGTGCGGTCATATTTTAGAAGATGGTCCCCCCTCCACGGTTACAGACACTTCATGATTTTCTTCTGGAATTTTAATGATTTCATTTTGACCCATTTGAAGTTTACCTGCTGTAAAGAAAAATAATTGCGGCCTTAAAGGGGTATACATGTACGTTTCTATCACAAAAAGAAAAAAAAAGTCTCAGGACCGGTAGGAAAGCTCTGCGTGCCTCCCGAAGACCCAGGCTCTGCCATTCTCCATGGCCCAAAACAGCGGCTCCAGCGCCATCCACCACGTCCACATTCCAGCCAGCAGAAAAGAAAAACCAGTAGGGAGGAGTACTCCTCCTCCTGCAGAGGGCATTTCTCTTGAAATGTGTGACGGTGACACGTCCTCGGCCTCACCTGCTACAAGGGAGCCTAGGGGGATCTAGGCATTATTCCAAAAAGCTTCACTAGAGAGAGAATGAGGGGGGCGGGGCGGGGAGGATCAGTTGGGATCTGGGCCACAAGCAATGCTATGGTGTTGTGGGGAGGAGAGCCTGCTCCCACCGAGGGGGAGACCCCAGAAAGGACGGACCGGGGGGGGTGGGGGGTTCCCAGAGAGGGCACGACCAGGGGGAGAGGAGACACAGGGATCCCCGTCTGCCATGGGGAGCTGGGGAAGGGGCCTGACCAGGGCAGAGGGGACGCGGGAGCCCTAAGCCACGCGGTGAGCATCGCCCACACCACCGCGACACGAGGGGCTGGGCCGTGGTTCTGCTGCTTCGCGCTCGGAGCAGAGCCTCACCACCCGGCGAGGAGAAGCTGAGTGGGTCCAGGCGTGACTCCAGATGCCCCCGTGTCCAGCCAGCGTCCGCTGAGACCGCAGGACCCTGCACCGGGTTAACAGGAGAGCAGACCAGCAGGGCTCCCAGGGGAGGTTGGTACCTGCATTTACCCACCCCGGGCTGCCCAGGCCCCTGCCTTCCAGGGCTCCCAACGCGTCTGCTGGGCCCTTGCACACCAACACACCAAGTCTCCCCTGCCCGCTCACCCAGAGGTCCTCCAGCTCTGGCCAGGCCCCCAGCAGCAGCTCCCAGTAACCCACCCCCAACCGCCCCTGCCCAGGCGGGGCCTGTCTCCACCGGCCGAGGGTGCAGGGCGGACTCGGGACCGTGGGGCCAGGGAGAGGGCCCGACAGGGGCTTGGATGCCTGGACACAAACCCCCTTGACCCTGAGTCAAAGGAGACCCCGACACGGGTGTCCTTGCCTTAATCACCCTGCAAGAGATAGAAATCCAAGAAATGCCTCAAATCAGCTTGAAAAGTGGGTCAGAGATAAAACACACACATACACACACACACACACACACACACACACCCTTGTGGAAAAGAGCAAGAACCCGTGGAAAGTGCCACTGCCCCCCCACCCCCGGGGACACCTGCAGAGGGACCAAGGAGCCTGACACCCGCACACGGGTGAGCACGATCTCACTGCACCTGCTTTTGCGTTTGTATCATTTCACTTTGGGATTCGTGTTTGAAATAGTAACGAGGTAATGAGCAGCTGAAGAGCGGACACCACGATCCCATTTTTATAAACTCCAGGAGGGGGAGAGGGAACAGACACATCGTAGCTGTGTTGTAAAACAGCTCAAGAAAGGAAAAGAGAAAAAAAAAAAGAAGCCACAAGAGCCCAGGGCCCCTTGGTGCTTCACCGAAGCAGGCAGTGGGGTCCCAGAGGTCCCAAACGGTGCCCTCTGCCCTGGGCAGCTGGTCACCGCCAGCCCTACCCAGCCCCAGGTTTGGGCCAAGGCACAGCCACACCCCGCTAAGGGCCCTCCGGGAGGCTTCCAAGGAGACGCCCCAACAGGTCAAAAAAGCCCAGGCAGGAGAGCGCTGCCTGCTGGGGGTCCCAGGTGTGGAGGGACCAACCACCCGAGTGACCCGGGACCGAGGAGGCTCCCAGGATGTGGTGCTGATGCCCAAGTCCTGGGCAAGCAGGGCAGATGGTCCCCCTCCCGGTGGGTGCAGAGCGGGCCGCTCCCGGGAGGTGGCCCGGCAGAGCCCCAAGGAGACGGCAGGTGCCAGCTCCAGCAGGGGGCAGGCAGGAGGAGCCTCCTCACCTCCCTCAGCCCCGTCCCTGACCCCTGCCCTGAGCGTGGCCCAGGCAACGGCCCCGGGGGCCAGGCTGGTTTCTAATGAAACCTTGAGAGCAGCACCCGGGGTGGGGGTGGGGGTGTCTGGGGCACGGCCTCACGGGGGAACCATCTGCCCTCCTCCCTGACACCCCTGCAGCCTGTCCCAGGTGACCGGCCAGGCCCCAGGAGGCAAGAGTCCCTCCAGGTGATGCCACTAACAAAAAGCTCCCTCTGCTCAGACTCAGGGACCTGCAGCATGACTGGGACCAGGAACAGGACCGGAACCAGGACTGGAATCAGGACCAGAACCAGGACCAAGATCAGGACTGGAACAAGGACCAGAACCGGGACCAGCGGGCTGGGGGGGAGGGGGGGGAAGGTAGTACAGAGCAGTCACTCCAGGCCACCAGCCACCATCACCAGCAACCTCGCAGAGCCGCTGCTCCGGGCTCAGGTGGGAGTTCTGGGGGCAAACCCCAGCTCCTAACTCGACGGCAGACCCGGCCCTTCCCTGACCGCAGCCTGGGCCTTGTCCACAGCGACCCCCCCCCCCCCCCCCCCCCCCCCCCGCCAGGCTCTCCACAAGGGCCGGTGGTCCTGGGGGAGCCGCTGCTGGTAGAAAGCGTCTGTCAGACACAGGACAAGACGATCAAAGGAAGACATTTTATTTTTTCAAGTTTCTATGGAGATGTTACAAACAACGGAGACTGAAGGGGGGCGGGGCGGGGGGGAAGACATTTAAAAATTTTAAACTACCAGTTTAAAATAAAAATATGATTAGATAAAATAATAAATAATGCCATCCATGACAATTTTAAGACGAAGGCATGTCACGTGCCTCAATGAGGTGGCCGGGGACAGGCTGCTGGGACCCTGACCCTCACCTGGCCTCCGGGCTGCAAGCCCGCCCCGGCATCCTAGCGATGGAGGAATGAAATGGCCACACCGTCCAAATCTTGACTTTATTTTTTAATATAAAAACCGCATTTTTGGAAACCCACCCTACCTTTTCCCCTAACATAATGCTTTACCTCTTAAAAATAAAAATAAAGTACTAATTCTATATACATCACATGTACCATACAAAAATGTATCCAAAGTTTCTATTGCTACCAAAGTGTTCTAAATTAAAACAAGTTACAGAAAGCCCCTCATTGTAAACAAAAGATTACAAGTTACAAAATCAAAGAACACACAGCCAGAGTCATTTACACAACAACCAACACATCCTGCTCCCAAAGCAAGTCGAATCTGTATGTGCCTGTATAAAAATGCATATCAATATACTTTTGCAAATTTATTTTTCATTATAAAGCAAATGAATACACTTTCTACAATAAATAACCCGCTGGAGGCACACCCGTGGAAAGCTGGGGCAGATGGGCGGAGGAGGCGGACGAGGAGGGTGAGGACGGCGACACGGGTATTGTAGAAAGTGTAGTCATTTGCTGTATAATGAAAAATAAATTTGCAAAAGTATAT